AAATCCATTACAGACCCACTCCTGGACCCCCTGCAGTTCGCCTACAGAGCCAACAGGTCTGTAGATGATGCAGTAAACATGGCCCTTCACTACATCCTCCAGCACCTGGACTCCCCAGGAACCTACTCCAGGATCCTGTTTGTGGATTTCAGCTCTGCTTTTAACACCATCATCCCGGCCCTGCTGCAGGACAAGCTCTCTCAGCTGAACGTGCCTGACTCCACCTGCAGGTGGATCACTGACTTCCTGACGGACAGGAAGCAGCACGTGAAGCTGGGAAAACATGTCTCTGATTCCAGGACAACAACAACTGCACCTCCAGTCACCAGTCTGTCAAGCTCCTGAAGTTTGCGGACAACACCACCCTCATTGGGCTCATCTCAGGTGGGGATGAGTCCGCCTACAGGTGGGAGATCGACCATCTGGTGACCTGGTGCAGCCAGAACAGTCTGGAGCTCAACGCTCTGAAGACAGTGGAGACGGTCGTGGACTTCAGAAAGAGCCCAGCCCCACCCTCCCCCATCATCCTGTGTGACTCCCCAGTCACCACTGTGGACTCCTTCCGCTTCCTGGGCTCCATCATCTCCCAGGACCTCAAGTGGGAGCTGAACATCACCTCCATCACCAAGAAGGCCCAGCAGAGGATGTACTTCCTGCGGCAGCTGAAGAAGTTCAGCCTGCCAAAGACAATGATGGTGCACTTCTACACCGCCATCATTGAGTCCATCATCACCTCCTCCATCACCATCTGGTACGCTGCAGTCACTGCCAGGGACAAGGGCAGGCTGCAGTGTATTATTCGCTCTGCAGAGAAGGTGATTGGCTGCAATCTTCCTTCTCTTCTGGACCTGCAGGCCTTGAGGACTCTGAGGCGAGCAGGAAAGATTGCAGCTGACCCCTCCCACCCCGGACACAAACTGTTTTAGACTCTCCCCTCTGGCAGGAGGCTGCGGTCCATCAGGACCAAAACCTCTCGCCACAAAAACAGTTTCTTCCCGTCTGCAACTAGCCTCATTAACAAGGCCCGGGTCCCCTACTGACACTCCCCCCTTGCAAATGATACAAATGTCTCTGCACATATAAATACTGTTTCATCTCAGTTTATATATTTATATGTACATAATATTCTCTTCCGTTGCGTTACTTCTGCACAGCACAGACCCAGAATAATGCACATGTATATATCTGCAACGTTGTTCTTCCATTCCATATTTATATATTCCTACATTTATTTATGTTGACTGTATGTTTGTCTACATGTAGCACCTTATCACAAATTCCTCCTATGTGTAAAACACTACTTGACAATAAAGCTCCTTCTGATTCTGATTATTGACTCTGGAAAATGCAACAGAACTATAAAATTGTACAATGAAATAGTTTAAGAGAAAAAATAACCCTTTTCGTTTATTTTTCCCTTGATATTATTATTTTCCAGTTTAACGATTACCGTGTCTGCACGGACAACTGGCATGCACATAACTCTGAAGAGAGCTTGCGGTCCAGTGGATTTCAGGTGTAAGAAAGGGAATTTGTGAGCAGATAATAACAAGGTAGAGAAGAAAGAGAGCCACATGTTTAATTATGGCTTTTTGTGGAGCTTTTCGTAACAGCTGCTCTAGAGTGATGTCAAAGTCACATCAGTTCCGATCCGAGTGTCCAGACTCAGGTCGCATTTAAAAAGATCCAATTTGGATGGGATTTGGACCACATATGAAGGTGGCCTAAAACTAAAACTGGAAAAGAGCCTTAATGAGGTCTCTTTTGTATGCTGGTACAAAACTATCCTCTCAGTGATCCCTGCTTCCATTCAGTTATTTGAGACAATTCAGTAAGGAGGCTTCAGTAACGCTATATATTGTTTAAATATGTAATTTCATGATACACTGGCCAACAAACATGTTTCAATTATAAAATAAATATGTGGGATTGAGAAGAAAAGTTATTATTATTTGTGTTGTTCCAACATGTGTGGGAGTCATTGTGCTAATTGAGAAATTATTTCTTATGCTATTTGTGCCGAGAACAGAGCAAATATAAATTTCTGTGATTATACTGGAGATATAAGAAAACACACGTTATTTCCGGAAGGGGCAATTAGAAATTTGTTGATAAAACACACATACACGCATATTTTTTCATCAGCAGTACGTGTTTATTTATTCTATTCAGATTTGATCACAGACAGTATAATACAGTGGAGTGAAGCCGTTGGGTGAGACAATGAGGAGATGAACATGGTGAAGGTCGGTGATTGGGATCAAACAAGCAGCGTTGCTTTTTGGAATTAAGGAGAACTTTCTAGAAATAGTTTAACTTTAAGGTGGTGTTTTAATGCAAACGTGGCCTCGGAGGTGTGACTTGCTGGGGAACTTGAAAGACAGAAAGGGATGAGTGAGAGACAAAAAGGGAAAGGAATTAAACATTGAAAGTAAAAACAAGACACAGCACAGGAGAGACATATATCGTGTGTGTGTGTGTGTGTGTGTGTGTGTGTGTGTGTGTGTGTCTGTGATTGACAGGATCAGAAGGATACAGTGGAATGTGACAGAGTTGGAGGATGGGGAGGAAGAGTTGGATAGAAAAATGAAGGGGCTCAAGGGAAAGCTGAAGGTGTTAACAAGAGAGGGTGAAAGAAACAGATGGAGAGAGAAAATTGTGTGAAAGAATTATAGAAACCTATTGACAGGTTGAGAGAGTGCTGATTAAGGGTCATTGATTGTTTACTTCTGAGTCTGTTTTCATTGGCTCTGCCTGTCAATCTCTTGAAGTTTGTCGTTATTTTTTCTTTGCTCCTCTTCTGCTTCTCTTTCTTTCATCAAGGCAAAAAATGCAAAAATGTCATGTGCAAATCAGGATTGGGCAATATGTTAAAATTGCCTTGTTAACTCATCATAAGACACTTTCATTCAAACTTGACAGAAACAAAACAAAATTCACCAAAACCAACTTGGTTAGATTTTCCACTGTTCAAATAATCATCAACTCTGGTTGGCAATGGACATGTATTTGTCCAATCGACCAACCATCGTGCAAATTCAATACTGTTTTTGAAGTAGTCAATACTGTTATTTCTAAGCAACAGTACATACGAGGAATAGGTTTGTAGTAATATTATGATTTGTGACACGCATTCAAGTTGTATGAAATGATGTTACACTTGATACAAACTGACTTTATGACACTTTAAAATGAAGTTATTTGATGGCCAAGTTAATTGAGTATTTAAGACACTAAAGCTGTCTCTCAATACCGAGTTCGCCAAGTTCGGACTTCTGTACTTGGAGGCTCAGACTTGGCAAGCTTGACTTGGGAGTAAAAACTTCCAGAGACGAGAGTACTCAGTCCGTCATTCTGCAATTAGAACTGTAGCACACTTGATGACGGCAGGTCTCGTTAGCAGACGGAATCACATCTCCGAAAATGTTGTGGCAAATTTTCAAATCAGCTGTATCTTGAGAAATCGACCACAAATTTAGAGTTAAAACAACTACTGTATATTCCCGCATAAAAAACTGCATTCCATGACACAATAACAGCAGCATTATAACTTACAATTGTGGGCCTTCTCCTCTGCCATTTCTGCTCGTTGGTGTGAAATGCATTCGGGCATACTTAGCTATCCAATGTCCACACAAGTCAGCACCGATGCATGCTCAGTAAAACAGGCTGTGCGAGAACACATCCGGATATTTAACTGTACTTGGTTAGATGCACACTTTATAATTGGAACAGTACTTGGGCTGCGATTGATGACGTTTCACAAGTCCACAAGATCACAAGTACAGACAAGAACGCAGATTGAGAAACAGCTAAAGATTAGTTGTACAGTAATAATTCATAGGAAAAAAGCAATAATTAGAAGTATGTATGTATGTAATGTAAAAATAAATATTATTTTGTGTAGCACATTTTTTCCCTGCTACTTTCCTGTTAATTGTCCCCTCAGGTTTATCTAATGGCCCCTTTGGGCGTCCAGACCCCAAAGTTGGGAACTACTTTTATGTACTTAAATGTCCCGATAACCAAAAGAAATTTGTAAAAACATATTTTGCTGTAAACACACTAGAAACACACAGAGTCCCTGCTCACTCACTGTGAACATATGACACCATACATTCACACACACGCATCACACATACACATACTTGCACATATTTATTTGGTTACAGGCACAGTCTATCATGTAGTGGGATAGCCATCTAGAAATGCTTTCATTGTGATTTATGACCACAGCCCAGAGGCAGAGGGTTAAAATCAAAACGACAGAAAGAAAGAGAAAAAGAGGGACAGTTAAAGCAAAAATGGTGGCAGACAGAAGCCAGCTTACACACACGCGCACACACACGCGCGCACACACACACACACACACACACACACACACACACACACACACACACACACACACACATACAAACACTTTGGGTCTCCAATCAGACTGAGGCTGGAAGGACTGCTGTAGGAGAAAATGAGTTTTGTTCTCTCGAGGCTCAGAAAGAAAGAAAGAAAGAAAGAAAGAAAGAAATGAGAATTTCCACTGGAAGAGCTGAGGATCATTGTTTTGCTTTAGGCCATGTTGGCAGTAGTTGTGAAAGGAGGAGAGAAGATTTGTCATTCACATCCACATCTCTCTCTTTCCTTTCCTCTGTTTATCTCTTTCTCACACACAAACGCACTGACTGTGCCATCTGTACTTTCTTGAGGAGCAGTAAACCCAAATTTTCCACCCCAAAATGCAAACTACAGCGACATGTCTCCACATTTTGTGTGTGTGTGTGTGTGTGTGTGTGTGTGTGTGTGTGTGTGTGTTGTGAAATTATTATATTCATCTTGCTGGTGTCTGACGGGGCATGGCTGCTGAGCTGCAGCCAAAATACTCCATTTGACCTAGATCATCTCAACACCCGGCTGTGTGTGTGTGTGTGTGTGTGTGTGCGTGTGTGTGCATAGTGTTTATGCCTATTTATCAGTGATATGATGCATTTTGGACATTGCCCATAATGATGTAAGAGCTCCCTCCCACATGTCCTCTGACTTTCTACTCATCATTCTGTTTGTGCCTCCTTTCACTGTATTTCTCCCTGCCTTGCTATTTCTGCTTCTCTGTCTCTCACTCTTATTCCCTGTTTTTCAGTTTCCCATTCTCTTCCTCCAAGGAAACTGGAGCACTCACCAAGTAAATGTCTTTGTGGTGTATGAAATAGTGTTTATTTGTTATGGCCCCTGTGCCTCAATCCTCAACCCAAGCAATTAATTTAATCCAATAACAGGCATGTCAGCAGTCCACTGTGCCCGCACACACACACACACACACACACACACACACACACACACACACACACAGAGATGTGTATTGTAATTCCATTTCTATTAAGAAAGCTGACCCACTCACGTTTGCATCTCGGCACATTATAATTTCCATGTACTGTACATGCCCAGCTAATCAAATAATCATTGGCCCTGTAAAACCTTCACAGCTCCACATGGCTGATTAAACTCTAACCATAACCAGACAGCACACCTGCGAGAGGGTTCCTTTTAGACATAGAAACAGGGTATCTGAGCAAGTTTTGGCTAATGGGAGGCTTGTTTGAGCAGTTCAGATGGTCACTGAGTCGTCAGCCTCATTATTTCAACCTTCTTTTTTGATAGTAGAACCAAAAAATTACAAAGAAAATGTTCCCACATACTTACACCTAAATCTTCTTCCAAAATATTTAGAACTGGAAAACATCAAATGTCCAATTAAGTTCTCTAAATAGCTCTGGCAGCATAATCAGCATGGGTAATTCAGAATGATCAAATGATTCCACCGCAAATCCAGAAGAAACTATGCAAATTTTGTTTTGATTGCAAAACAGTGAAGCAGGTATATTCATTCTCACAGATAAATTGGCGGGGTCTTTGAGTTTGCTGAACATTTTCTACTTGTCTTTCCTTGTGTTTCTTTGCAGTGACGGATGGGCAGACCGGTATGATGTAACAGATGGCTTTGTTAGGGAAGCAGCCGGTGGTATTACCATCAAGCTCCAGTCGGCTGATGTGAAGTGGTTTGATGAGTACTACCTTAAACTTCGTCCTGAAAACAACTTCAGGAACCCCTGGTTTCCAGAGTTCTGGCAGCATCGTTTCCACTGTCGACTTAAAGGCCACCCACAGGAGAACAACAAATATAACCGCACCTGTAGCAGTGAGTACAGACACAAATAAAATGCACCAAAATACACTCACCGGCCACTTTATTAGGTTCCCCTGTTCAATTGCTTGTTAACACAAATAGCTAATCAGCCAATTTCATGGCAGCAACTCAATGCATTTCGGCAAGACAACTTGCTAAAGTTCAAACCGAGCATCAGAATGGGGAAGAAAGGGGATTTAAGTGACTTTGAACGTGGCATAGTTGTTGGTGCCAGACGGGCTGGTCTGAGTATTTCAGAAACTGCTGATCTACTGGGATTTTCATGCACAACCATCTCTAGGGTTTACAGAGAATGGTCCGAAAAAGAGAAAATATTCAGTGAGCGGCAGTTGTGTGGACAAAAATCCCTTGTTGATGTCAGAGGTCAGAGGAGAATGGGCAGACTGGTTCAAGATGACAGAAGGGGAACAGTAACTCAAATAACCATCTCTGAACGCACAACACGTTGACCACTGAAGCAGATGGGCTACAGCAGCAGAAGACCACACCGGGCCCCACTCCTGTCAGCTCAGAACAGGAAACTGAGGCTACAATTCACACAGGCTCACCAAATTGGACAACAGAAGATGGAAAAACGTTGCCTGGTCTGATGAGTCTCGATTTTAGCTGCGACATTCAGATGGTAGGGTCAGAATTTGGTGTAAACAACATGAAAGCATGAATCCATCCTGCCTTGGATCAACGGTTCAGGCTGGTGGCGGTGTAATGTGGGGGGGGGTATTTTGTTGGCACACTTGGGCCCCTTGGGCCCCTTAGTACCAACAGAGCATAGTTTAAATGTGACAGCATACCTGAGTATTGTTGCTGACCGTGTCCATCCCTTGATGACCACAGTGTACCATCTCCTGATGGCTACTTCCAGCAGGACAATGAACCGTGTCACAAAGCTCAAACTGGATTCTTGAACATGACAATGAGTTCACTGTTCTCCAATGGCCTCCACAGTCACCAGATCTCAATCCAATAGAGCACCTTTGGGATGAGGTGGAACGGGAGATTCGCATCATGGATGTGCAGCCGACAAATCTGCAGCAACTGCATGATGCTATCATGTCGATATGGAGAAAAGTCTCTGAGGTGTTTCCAACACCTTGTTGAAAGTATGCCACGAAGAATTAAGGTAGTTCTGAAGGCAAAAGGGGGTCTAAACCGGCACTAGCAAGGTGTACCTAATAAAGTGGCCAGTAAGTTTAGAATGCTCAGTAGCAAGAGCAATTTTACACTATTTTCTTTCATGACAGAGTGATTAACAGCTACAGCTTTCAGTTTAATTGTTGTTGAAATCTTTTGAGACATATTGGTATAAGACCTGAAATGTACTTCTTGAACACCTGTAACAGCGAGTATGAACGGAGACAACACAGAGTTACAGCTGTACTGTACTTCTATTTTGACAATGACCATCTGGGGTGCAGAGAAAGAGAGAGAGGCTGCATTGTTTACAGTACCAATCTGCATTTTTTATTGACCGGCTTTCATAATGGCCACTATTAATGCAAATTCAAAACATGCAAACAGACTGGCTGAACACACACATAACATACGGATACACACAGCTTTCCTGTTCATCTGGAGATATCCCTTGTGGCTGTGAGTGCACCCTCCCTTTATTTTATTTTTTTGTATTCATCTCCCTCCGTCTTTCTGTCTCTGTTTCATTCTCTCCATTCATACGCAAAACGGTGCGTGAGAGCTGCATCAAAGGGAGTCATGCCTCATGTATTCTAATGAAGTGGAACATGAAATACAAATGAACAGGACACAGAAAGAGGCAGAAAGAAATGAGATGTGGAGGTGGGAAGTGGCCGATGAGAAAAAATGAGCGGAAGGAGAGTGGTGTTTGATGTTAGGAAGAAAAGCATTCTGTGTGTCATAAAACTAGTGGGAAATTAACATTTTCTGTGATATGCGCGCTTTCTCTTTCCACCCTTCCTCACCAACCCAATTCTCCCTCCCCCCGACTCTACCCACCCTCCTCTCTGCAGAACGAGAGTCGCTTCGGCAGCAGTATGCACAGGACACTAAGATGGGGTTTGTCATTAATGCCATCTACTCGATGGCATATGGCCTGCATAACATGCAACGGGCACTCTGCCCAGGCTATCAGGTTGGTACCACTCTGTTGGATGAATGGAGGGACATACTAGGATAAAGGACGTAGATGAAGGGGTGGAGAGTGGGAATGGTGGGACAAAAAGAAGCAGGGTATTGTTGACATATTCCACTTGATCTTGTTTAACTTATTGTCAAACTGCATACACTGGAGTTCAAAATGGAAACCTAGATGATTGCATATATTATATAAACATGACTTATTACAGTAATTATGTGCCAATTTATGAATTGAGATAGAAAGCTGAAATAGTTTTAGCTAAACCAGAAGTTTTAAAAATACAGAAGAAAATACATCATTGCTGCTCTTACAGATTTCAGCTCATATTAGTTTTAACATAGATTTCATCCTTGCAGACATGAAAACTGGAATGTAATATTTCAGACACAGGGCTTCAATTCTGATTAAACATAATGAGATGATTAATCTTGATCTTCACTGTGTGTGCCACTGCTACAGTAATTGGCCTGAATGGGACAGTGGTGATAGAAAAGCAAAACCTACTGGACTGCACATTTAAATTTTCATGAAACTTGGGATGATGCACCTTGTTTGCTGGTGTTTTTATTGCTTTAAGTTTATATGATGATAGTCCAACAGTACAGTAATCATGTTTTGAGGATAATTTACCATAATGAAGCTTTTTTAACGAAAGGAAAGTTTTTACTGTTTATATGCCATTGCGTTGTGTTCTTGACCACTGACTACCATTTCCAAAGTGACTTGTGTACACACAAAAATACTTCTATGAAACAATGTTTCTTAAGCTGTGGCTCAGGATTTTTGTTAGATATGTCATGACAAGTCCTGTTTGTGTATTTAAAGGGCCTGTGTGATGCGATGCGACCTATAGATGGTGCTACTCTCCTGGACTTCCTGATGAAAACCAACTTCACAGGCGTGTCAGGGGAGGGAATCCTATTTGATGAGAACGGAGACTCACCTGGCAGGTACGCACTGTAACTGAACAAAGCTGTCATGGATTTCTTTTTGGTGTGGCCTTAATCTGTTGGATGTATACTGTATGTGTACCATCCATCAACAGGTATGAAATAATGAACTTCAAAAAGATGGGGAAGGACTACTATGACTACATTAATGTTGGCAGTTGGGACAATAGAGGCTTGAAGATAGATGATGATGAAATCTGGCCCAACAAAGATGCCATGATTAAGTCAGTCTGCAGTGAACCCTGTGACAAAGGACAGATTAAGGTAAGACGACTGGTACAGATTACATGAGGCAAGTAAAAGTACATTTTACACAAAATACATGAGTATTTTCCAGTCCAGTTTACATACTTTGGCAATTTTGGAAATCGTCACTCCACTATGGAGTGTTTACTTCACATGAGAAATTCCATTATATGTGCAATAGATTATAGGGATGGGTCACAATTTTAAAATTTTGGAATAGTGGTTAAATTATAAAAAATGTAATAGTTTGTGCACCTATTGTTATATAACTATCAATTAGGTTGTAGCCTAATAGTGGTTTGGTGTATTGTGTCCGCTGCTGTTGAGGAAATACAGTTGAAAACCACCACAACATCTCGCCACCATCCTCCTAATAATCTAGCGCACTCCTAACTTCAGGTTCGGGGTCACAAATCTTCAAAGACAAGTACACACAGACATTGTGCACTCTGTCCCTTCCAGGTGATTCGTAAAGGGGAGGTGAGCTGCTGCTGGACATGCACTCCCTGTAAAGAAAATGAGTTTGTGTTCGACGAGTACACCTGCCGAGCCTGTGAACTGGGCTCTTGGCCTACTGATGATCTGACAGGTCAGTCTCTGTTTGTTGTGTGTTTGTGTGCCTACATGCTAATTATAAAATTTATTTTATAAATATATTATATTATTTGCAATCTCAGAGACATTTCTGACCATGACATCTGACCACGCTCCTGCATAAAAATCCTTTTAATATCAATCCTCAGCAGTGAGGCCACTCGAAGGAACCCATACAATGACCACAGATATGTGTGTGTGCATGTCTGTGTGTAGGGTCCTAGGATAAAGGATGTATAGTACAATGAGATATGTTGTATTTTCCCTGACACAGCGTGCCATTACAGCATATTATTATACAGTAAGTCCTGCACTAGATACATTAGAGAGAGAAACCGAGAGACAATCCCTCCGTTTCAACCTCCCCTCCTCTTTTCCTCTTTTACCCTCCCCCTCCCTCCCTTCCACTCCCTCTCTCTCATCCCTTTAATTTGTTATGAACATGGTCACCAATGTTTTAATTATTCTGCATCAAGAGAAGCTTTCAGTGCAAATACATTTCAGTTGCAATGCAAATGTATTTACCCTCCATTGCGTTGGAAGTGGTTGGATATTGTCTTGTTATGCTTTGAGCTGCTCATTATACTGCTTGCTAGCATGAATCAAACCCTGCTGAAAATTCAGATTGAGCTTGCCAGAGAGGGAAGCATCCTTAAACTAAAACAGGGTGCAAACTAGTGAGAAAATGACAAAGAGAAAGTTGACAGTGAAAAAAAGAGACCGATAAAGAATTTAAAGCATGATTGCGGTTATCCATGTATCACTTTGTGATAGTGCCGCATGTCCCCAGTGGGGCTATATGGAACATCAATAATGAGGTGTAAACAAACTGCTTGCCCTGTTCCTCCAGCAGACATTTTGATCTCTCTCCCTCAGGCCAAAAAAGGAGACAAAAAGTGTGAGAGATGAATAGAAGGAGAGGGAGAGGAAGAGGCAGAGGGAGTTGAAGTGGTAGAGGAAGGGCTCAGCAGGCAGGGACAGAGGTGCAGTGGGTGTGAAACCATAGAAAGCAATAGGAGAGTTTTGGACAGCAATAGAGCAAGAACAAGAAAAATAGAGTGAGAGAAAAGTGACTTAAACATTAACAGAAGAAAAAAGAGTGAGAGAGAGAGAGAGCGACGAATAGAGGCTCTGACAGAAGCGGCAGCAAGGGAGAGTAAAAGTAGCAGAAAAAGGGAGGATTAGCTTTGGGATTTGAGCCTCTCCACTGATCGGTGAAGTTCCATAGTCTGAGTCTGAGAGTGTTTGAAGGAGTTTGCCTCAAAACTTTATATCGACTGAACCCTCCAAACGGCCCCCCTCCACTTAATGCACCAGTTTTGCTTAGGGTTAAACGCAACACAATTTCCTGCAGGTTCTGTGAACTAATTAAGTTTTAAAATGCCAACATAGCCAATGCTTTTTGACTGCTCTGAGAAAACCCATGAGGAAAACTCTGATCTAGGAATTTCGGCCTCGACATCTTGATGCATGTGGGGCAGGATTAATTGGAGTTAAATTTTCAGCAAGTGCCTTAGTTTCCTCCCTCCTTACATTTTCAACAGTGGGTGGTCCTCACCCCTCATGGCTAGTCAGGACAGTTACTCTACTCCCTCTCTCTTAAAAAGGGGCTACGCTAAAGCAGTAAAAAAAGCACCAAGTCTATGATTTTAAAAAGTTATATTTACATACAAGTAATTTCTAAGATCAGAAAAAAAGAGATTCAGATCTGCTATATTGTAGTGATGATGCTCCATTTTGGCTGATTTATGTATGGGTAATTTTTCTGTTTCTCTATTTATCTCTTTAAATACAATTATTGGACTGATTATTTTTACCCACACTGCATGATGTTCAATCCCTCACACTGCTTTAGATTATGATAATTGTAACTGAAATGACACGGCCTTTCAGTGAGTGAGCCTGCAAGTGAGCCACATCCTCTGCAGAATGCTTCCACCTGACTTATTTTCTGTTTGTTACCGTCCCCTTGGCTCCCGTTCAGCAATTAGGCTGCTGTTTATGCCCCTGGACCAAACCACATCACTGATTTGATCAACTTTATTGACCGTGTGAAAGACAGAGTCATTGAATTACTTAAGCCTTTTTTAATGACTGTTCTATCTCTTCCTCTCTCTGCGTTTTGCTGTACTGTACAAACAGGTGTATGTGCATCTGTGTCTGTGTGTCTATAAGGAAGAGAAACAGGTAAAGCAAGAGAGAAGGAATGAGAGATAGAACATTGGAGACAGAGGAAAAGAAAGACAAAAAGCAAGAAAGTTAAGATGTATAGGAACAGAATGTTTTAGAAAGAGCCTACATACATCCCTGCTGCCATAGTATGTCTAGACCAGCCAGCTGGATAATTTCAGCAAGCGTTAATTCAGATCGTAATTAGAACTGTCCCTCTAATTAATGACACTTTATCTCCTTGCCTGTGAGAGAGACAGAGATGGAGGAAGAAGGGAGAGATTAAGGATGAGGATGAAGAGAGATATGGGACATATTGGGGGGGGGGGGGACAGAGTGATGAATGTGGAATTACAAAGAAAAAGAGACTGACAGGAAACAGATGCAAAGATTGAATGACATGGGTACAAGAAGAAGGGAAGAAATTGAAACACAGATGAAGGGTTAAGAAAGAAAGTGTGGACAAGTATGTATTGCAAGGATAAAAAGCCTGCAGTCTGATGTAAGTGGAAAGGTAGTGAAGAAAGAGAGATGTCATATCCTCACTTAGAGATGAAGGGGGCATGCTGAGTAATGACTACACTATTACTACTATAATATACTTCTCAGTCAGTTAATGGTTCAGACTTCCCCACCAGGACAACTGTGGCTCCAACCCTGGCCTGTGCAGGTTGTTGTTCACTGGGTCAAGCTTTTTACACTGATGTTCGTCCTGGATCAAAGCTTGATAGAGAAACAAGAGAAAAATGAAAGAGAGAGAACATAAAGAATAAAGATAAGGCTACAGTTAAATGTTTGGCAAACATATGGAAGTCTCATTATCTCAGTTGCTGGGCTTCACACTCATCTAATAAATGTCAATGATTTTTTTTGTCACCAGGCTGTGATGCAATCCCAGTGGAGTATCTGCGGTGGGGAGACCCTGAACCCATTGCTGCTGTGGTCTTTGCCTGCCTCGGTCAAATGGCCACATTTTTTGTCACCGCAGTCTTCATCAGGTAACGAATCACTTATCACTCAGAAAATAAATGAACCGAAGAGAACAATACAAGTAGTGTTAGACTAGACAAAAGTATGCACCATAAATACCCACTTTGCACATTTCTACTATTTTCTTGTAGTTTTCACAAGTGTGTTTTTTTCTTATATACAGTAAACTGTAGGGTGTGTGTGTGTGTGTGTGTGTGTGTGTGTGTGTGTGTGTCTGCGTTTAGGTTTCGGGACACACCAGTAGTGAAATCTTCCAGTAGGGAGCTGTGCTACATAATACTGGCAGGGATCTGTCTGGGGTACCTGTGTACCTTCAGCCTCATAGCCAAACCCCATGTTATCCACTGCTACCTCCAACGACTGGGAATAGGTCTGTCACCTGCCATGAGCTACTCTGCGCTTGTCACCAAGGTAAGGACTGAGTTAAGGATTTGAGATGTAGGGTACAGCAGTTGTGAGAGGTGTAGGGCTAAAGGAGTTACCTCCACAGACATGGAATCTACTCCTTATCTGTTTACACTTTGTTAATGTATTACGTGCTTTATGAGTGAGTGATTTTACAATTTTTGTCTTTTTCTGCATTGTTTTAAGTGAGCTCACTAAGACACATTCCAATCAATCATGTTGACATGGCAATAAAGTATTGAATCTTGAATACCCCTGTCATTAGATCTATGCTAACCTCTCTTGGTCATCAATGGTCTGTGGGGAAGAGCCACAGAAAAGCTTCAGATACTGGAGAGTCAGCAGCAGGGATACATCTGTGGGTGGAAGCAGAACTGTAGACCTTATCAGAAAGAAACAGGGGAAAACACAGGTGCCGTAGTCCCTTCATACTGCAGTTTTTTTCTCTTCCATTTCTTAATGGTTAGAACGAGGGGATATGGGCACCATAACATTAGAGAGAGCCAAAAGTCTATCCTACCCATGAATGATGGCTGAGGGAACATGGAGGTAGGATTGAACAAAGGCAGGCAACAATAGCCTTCCTATAAGAAATCACATAGTTTCCAGTTTCCACACAAACTTTTTACTCCTGTGTGCAATATTTTTTTTTTTATCAAAGTTTTGTTCACTTGTCTACAGATGTCTACATAAGGACATTGGCAGCAGTGTAGAAATACAGAAAGCAGATGGCCAGAATATAGATACATTATGTTCAGTATAGCTTTTTAAAAGGTACTGATGGTGTTTGCGATCTGACCCTAGACAAACCGCATCGCTCGGATCCTGGCAGGCAGCAAGAAAAAGATCTGTACAAAGAAACCTCGCTTCATGTCTGCCTGTGCTCAGCTCATCATTGCCTTCCTCCTCATACTGCTGCAGCTGGGCATCATCGTAGCTCTCTTCCTCATGGAGCCACCTGAGGTAAGCTGTGAGTGTAGGTGTGTGTCTCAACAGGTATCAAACTGAAGCTCTACCAACACGCTTAGAGTTAAACAGTTCTCACAATTAGCAGTTTAATGAATGGCAATGTTATTTTGTAAAAGTGTACTGCTTGCCCAATCTATTTTAATGCCACTGTTACATATCTGTAAACATAATTTTTAATGTTCTGGAAGAGAAAAGTGATGCTTGTAGTAGAAGCTTTTTCATGCCCTGGTTACTCCGCTGTCTTTATAGGTGATCCATGACTACCCCAGCATCCGCCAGGTCAACCTCATTTGCAACACCACTAACCTGGCCGTGGTTGCCCCGCTGGGATACAATGGTCTGCTCATCCTCAGCTGCACCTTCTATGCCTTCAAGGTACTAGCTTAAGTGTTTGTAACTACAACTGACAATATCACTAGTGAAAAGTCACCCAGACATAATGTGAAAAGCAATGATTGAACCACTGTTTGTGTTTGGTGCTCTACAACCTTTCAACAGGCGTAAATAAATTATATTACACCAAATACATTATAAAGTCAATGTTTGATTATCAGTGACCTGCAGCCATCCATGTTCTGTAGAGTGTGAGAGCAGAGTGGTAAATGGAGACAAAAGCTGAAATACACTGCAAGTCAAGCAAATACATTAAGCATGTTTACAAAGCAGAGAAAACCAGTACAACTCTGGTAGCGAATGGTTATGACCCCATCTTTAATGAGGTGCACTTTCTCTACCTTTAAGGCAGAATCTACAGAACAATTCAACTACAAATAAGAAATTAATCTACTTGCTTACACTTTCTCTCTCTCCAAGACCCGCAACGTCCCAGCTAATTTCAATGAGGCTAAGTACATTGCCTTTACCATGTACACCACCTGTATCATCTGGCTGGCCTTTGTACCCATCTACTTTGGTTCCAACTACAAAATTATCACCATGTGCTTCAGTGTCAGCCTCAGTGCCACTGTGGCTCTATGCTGCATGTTCGTACCCAAGGTAAGCCTGAGCCTAAAATCCACAGTTTCTACTCATTCACCTTTTAGATGAATATGTTTTTACATTTTTCAGACTCCCTAAACATAAAGTTTCTGCTTTAAGCTCCTTTAAATAAAATTTTCAAGTGTCCATTAATAGTGTATATTAGGGAACTTCAAACATGCCGCAGTTGTAATCGTTCTAAATCAGTGCACAGGGTATATTAAACTTCAGGTAACCATAGCAGCAGTATTACTACTTTTATGCTACATTACCAGTTAATTACTACTGTCGAAACAGACCAAGATGACAATTTCTTGTATGTGGTAGGCATCCAAGTTATGACCTCAGTAATACACGCTGATGTCTTCTGATCTTTTAAGTAATTAAGTAAAATCGTTATTATTTATAGAAAAGCAGTTCACTTCCTACAGTACATGTGAATATTTACGTCATCCTTCCTCAACTTCCTTTTTTCACTTGTGCATGCAAGAACTTAAATGTGATGATAAAGTACCCCAAAACATTAGTTGCTTGCGACCATATCTACCGATGCACAGGCAGAGTAAACACCATGTAATTGAAAGTAAGTGCAAGTTAAGTTTTTGAATAAATAAATAGAAACTTGAAATTAAATTTTAACCAAATGCCTGCATTGATGTGAAAAAGGTCATTTAAAATATTATCACGCATCGTGTTTTCTCCCACTTGTAATAGCAAGACATCCCTGTGGTGCCTCAAGGAGAAACTATAAAAACATTTCAATAAATATTGTTTCTTTTGAGAATTGTATATTTATTGCAGTTTCACATTTAAGGTCAGTCATAACAGCCTTCATCACTCATCACTCTAAAAAGAACATTTGTTAGAAGACAGATTTGTGTAAACAGTCGGCATCAAATTATTTCCAACAACAGACGCAGTTATGAAGGTCTTCATTTTTTTTAATGGTCTTCTTTAAGAACTTAAATAACATTATGTTTTATTTCATATCAGGTGTACATCATTCTAGCAAAACCAGAGCGTAACGTGCGCAGTGCCTTTACCACTAGCACAGTAGTGCGCATGCACGTGGGTGACGGCAAATCTTCCTCAGCCGCCAGCCGTTCTTCTAGTCTGGTTAATCTGTGGAAACGCAGAGGCTCTACTGGAGAGACACTCAGGTACATATGTGTGTGTGTGCATGTGTGTGTATACACTAGAGGCTTATTGGCCAGGTTAATGCCAGGTTACTCCTCAGTTAGAGTCCAAGGCACCATTTCTGTAATGACACTGCTCTGAGACTATTTATAGTGTGTGTGTGTGTGTGTGTGAGAGAGAGAGAGAAAGAGAGATTGATTCTCTGAACTCTCCTGAGTCTGCTTGACTGTTCTTCTGACCCTAACATGAACTGCAGACAATTGCCTAATGATGACATGGCAAAGAAGGAGAGAGAGGAGTGAACCGAGGAAGGGAGGGTAAGGAGAAATTCGGAAAGAGAAATCTGATGACAGGGATGGAAGGGGGTGGAAGGAATGGACAGAGAGATGCCAAACAGAAGTGGTGCAAAAGAAAGAGAAGAAAAGTCTAGATACGGAATAGTTTGAAAAGAAAGACGTAATAACTTTCACAGCCAGCTTAAGGCCATCTACAAGTCATCTACAGTGACAAGTAACCGATCAAAGGACACAAAGGGAGTGACGCACAGCTACTTGCCCAGAATGAAAGGGGAGAAAAAAGACAAGAACACATTTTCGTTTGTCAGCAGGTTACTTCAGCTCACCCCGCTTGGCAAGCAAGATTTCAATCATGCTCTTACAAGAAGCGTCAGGAGTGTTTCCATCTTTTATTGCTCTCTTCCTCTGTTCTGCTTTTATTCCTCTCTTCCCCTCTCCATCTCTTCTGGTCCTATCTTCCTCTGTGGGTGGTGGTAATTGGCAGGGCTGTCTATCTCCTCAGTGCGGGGCTGGAAGCAGTTCCCTTTTGAGATGCTGTCATTGTGTAGTCTGAACAGATGCAGACAGACATGAAACCAGCAGACCAAGTGGTGGTGGTGGGGGGGGGGTATTTAAAGAAATAAAATGACTGTTGTTTGAATAAAATGTTTGAGCTACTTAAGAGTGCATGGTTTTCCTCAACAGATCAGTCAGTCAGACTCAGTGCTGGATACGATATAAGATAAGATCAATTAAGCACTACTTTATTTTGTGCAACAT